CGTACTGTAGCTTGATACACACGTCCTTTCAGATTCAGGGATAAACCATTCTGACGCCATAGGCGTCTCAATTTCGCAAACGCGGCCCGAGCGTTGCAGATTCGTGCATTCACCTCATCTGTCACACTACGATCAGAACTAATACAACTTCCAAGGTATGTAAAACGCTCCACAACTTCCAGTACCTCTCCCTGGATCGTAAGGTCGTGTTCAGTGACTGCACGTCCACAAGCATGACCTTACACTTTGTGGGTGCAAAGTGCATATCAAAGGACGGGATGACTTTGGTCAGTTCATCCAAGAATACTTGCGCCTTCTCCGTCTCTTCGAACATGAGAACGATGTCGTCTGCATATTCCAGATCGACAAGGTTTTCTTCATTGGCTATTTGAACACCAGGGTTTTGGAGACCCTCCAGCTTTCGTCTCATTATTTCATCGATCACAAAGTTGAAAAGGAATGGAGAGAGTGGGCATCCCTGACGGACACCGCTTTGTGTGCGGAAGCTTTTGGAGAGCTCTCCGTACACTCTCACACGTCCGGAAGTCTGAGAATACAAAGAACGTATTAGGTTTACAAACTTCCGGGGCATTCCTTGGTGGGCAAGCGTCTCGATAAGAACAGACCGATCAACCGAGTCGAATGCGCCTCGGAAATCCAGGAATACTAGAATCGTGGGTCGCTTATACGTATGGCGTTGTTCTAGCACCTGACGCAGTGTGAAGATTTGGTCAACGCAACCCCTACCAGGCCGGAATCCCGCTTGCTGCTCTCAAGTCAGTATTTCGCGAGCCACCGTAAGGCGACGAATCACAGTTGACGCCAACAGTCTTGTTACAACCGGGGTCAAGCTGATCCCCCTGTGGTTACCACACTCACTACGCGCCCCTTTTTTTAAAATAAGCACTATCACCGATTCTCCCCAGTTGTCTGGGGCAGACTCCTTTTCCCACATGCAAGCAAACAGATCGGACAAGCGCTGACTGAGGACCTCACCCCCGTCTTTGAACAGTGCGTGTGGAAGGTCATCCGGACCGGGAGCTCGGTGGCGCTTGAGGGAACATATGCAGCCGTAAACCTCCGAGGCCGTAGGTGGTTCCACGTTCACCGTCCAAGGTTCTACTTCACTTGTGGGCTTTAGATGAGTGCCTGCTGGTGGCCACGACAGTTGTTGTTCGAAGTATTCAGCCCATCGGTCGAGGCGTTCTTCTTTGTTCGAGATGATCGTTCCATTCTGGTGTGATTTTTAATTTAATTTCTAATCACGATTTAAGATTGTTAGGACTGTTCTCTTACCTTCGTTATAAATTTTGACTTTTCCGTTGTATGAAATGGCTGAGATTTTTGTTCGAGATGATCGTTCCATTCTGGTGTGATTTTTCACTTAATTTCTAATCACGATTTAAGATTGTTAGGACTGTTCTCTTACCTTCGTTATAAATTTTGACTTTTCCGTTGTATGAAATAACAGGGCTGAGATTTTGCTCGCAACGAAATGATAATTTGAATTCTTTAGTAACTGCCAGAAACAATTAGATATCAGCTCAATAAAGATAAGCGCTCTTTCTAAGTCCCATGCTGGATTATAGAGTGTTATCGTATAGACAGTCTATGCACATACTATACAGATATTCACTTGTATGGGACTAAATATGGGCTATTTTCAATGCAAAGATACGCGAAAAACGATAACAATCAATCATACGTGACGAATGTAAGAGCAAACGAAAGCGTACTGATACAGCGTGTTATGTACACGTGGATAGTTATACAATGCATACAATGTATTACAGTGTGCTACAGGTGTGCGATGGTGATTCCCGCAAAATTTTAGTTATCTTTTCCGGAGTTCGTTTGGTTAATCAGACATCTCTCTGCTTTGAACTGTCATTAATCCACTTATGCCATCTTCAATCAGGAAGAACCTTGTGTTTGTGTGTGCCTTGGTCAAACAAAAAAAAGCCACAGTCAATTGAGTCTTGTGCGCTGAAAACTGGTATTTTTGTTAGTGGACCAGTGAAAAACAGAAGCAAACACTCGACGCCCACATAAAGAATGAGTACATGTTATTTGATAAGCAGTTTATAAGAATCATATAGATGAAAAAACGAAAGCATCACAAACCATTTGATTTGTTTTGATCAGCACTTGCACAACTTGAAAGATGTTATATATTCAAGAGGGACTGCGGTAAGTTTTAAATTACCATCATGCTGATTGTGAATAAATATTTTGCTTATCGAAATGACTTTATATTTGTTTTGTCCGATTTAAAAAAACACATTGGTTTGCGCACTTTTCTGAGATGCTCCTAACAATGGTGGACAAATATAGGCCGGGAACCTTTAGGAAGATCATAGGTAGGAAGTTTGCATAACCTAATTCTGACTGACCCAGAAGCCGTGTGTGTCCTCCAAATCAACTGTAAGTGGGTCGAAGACGCGGATTTGGCCAACAGCATCCAAGCCGCTTTGAATTTGTGTATTTTGATGAGGTATGCATTACAAAACAGTTAGACAAAGAAGTAGAAAAAACTCGTCATGAAATCAGCACAAATAAAATTAAAAGTAATATCCAAGCCATAGGTGAAAGACGCGCGAAATTGCGTTCTTGTAGTTTTGTTATCTGCATGTTCACAAGCTGAAGATTGTGCGATAAGCTTTGCATAAAGTGATACAGCTGAATCCATTTTCAAACGGGTTTCATGTCTTCTGAACTAGTCCGCTCGATTAAAGCTTGATTGCCCTTGTCCCCTCCCTCTTCTCAGATATTTCAGTGGTTAATTTCTTACCGGTCTCATTACTGGTGACACAAATTGTTTGCGACATATACCTATTTACTTACTCGGAAAGATCGGTTAGCCATGGTCTACTTGCCGTACCTACCAATGAAATTATTCAGTGATCTCGCTGTAAGGTCAAAGCTAGCGACAATGTATGGGGTCTTCTGGATAAACTGTTTGTCTTGACTTGGCAATCATGAGCTGGTGTCAGCATGATTTCTACTGACACACCACACGTAATCCCCATATCCCCATCAGCGGGATGGACCACGGTTCAGCTGGTTTCATCAATTCACTATGGTTTTCTAGGCCTGAAATGTGCCATTCCCAACCAACATAAGTTTACAGTGGTGTCAGTGAAATCAACAGTCTATATAGGATGTTAAGGAGCGGTCAGTTAGCCTGTGATTGTTCTGTTAAGAACGACCGCGTCCACACTACATGAAATAAAAACGGCGATTCACCAAAAGTGTGTTTGACAAGCTGTCACTGGCTAGCTAACCACCTAATTAGACCAGTAGGTAGGTGAGCAATGAACTATCTAAATAAATAAGTAAACAAGATACCAACTGAGAACTATCTACGTCTCAGTACTAAGCTGCCAATTTACCATTTTGGTTGATCTTACGT